CAGACATTTGTAAGACAAATAGGGGAATGGAAGGGACCCAGAGAGTGAAGAACATCAGAAAGATGGGGACAGAGTGGGGAGATTTTTCACTATCAAACTGGAAAAAAAAATTAATGATAATACGCAGTGTTGTTGAAGACATGGGGAAACAAACACTCTCTAACACAACCTGTGGTGTCAACTTGATACAACTTTTCTGGAAGACAATTAAGTAATGTGTATCGAAAAGCAATCTTCTCTCATTCATTTATTGTTAGATTTTGCTTTTGAAATGGTTCTTCCTAATTCTGTTTCTAATAGGGGAAGATGGGGGGCACCAGGGTGGCTCAATCCGTTCAGTGTCTGACTTCAGCTCAGGTCATGATCTCACAGTCTGTGGGTTCAAGCCCCGCATCAGGCTCTGTGCTGACAGCTCAGGGCCTGGAGCCTGCTTTGGATTCTGTGTCTCATTCGGTCTCTGCCCCTCCCCTGCTCATTCTCTCTCTCTCTAAAATAAATATTTTAAAAAATTAATGAGGGAAAATTGAGATCAAACTACATTTATTCTATAAAGTCCTAACAATAGGGACGCCTAGATGGCTCAGTCGGTTAGTCATCCGACTCTTGATTTTGGCTCAGGCAGGTCATGATCTCACAATGATCAGACTGAGCCCCAGTGCAGAGCCTGCTTGGGATCCTGCTGCTCTCCCTCTCTCCCCGCCCCTCCCTCCCTCCCTCTCTCTCAAAATATATAAATAAGCTTTAAAAAAATCCCAGCAATATGCACTTGGTTCAATAGATTATGGTTTTATCAAAACTGAAATATCAGGAGCTGTTTAAACTGATGGTGTGAATGTTCACTGGCACGAGAGAAGATTCAACAATATGGCCAACGGGATAAGCCACGGGCCTAGATGTCAAGGACGATCTCCATATGTTTTCTGGTTGCTAAATAGATATGGATTAAAATATACGGGAGCTGCAACATAGTATCAGTAAGGGGGTCCTCTTGCTGATGGACGGTGGGGGTGTCCGTGTGGTGGGGCATCAGCTCCATGTGGTCCACTAGGACCTTTGGGTGATGCCCATTTAGATGATTCCAGCACTGCTCAAACTCCTTCTAACATGCGTCCCGTTTTGCAAATGTTGGAATTGCCACCTCCTCAAAAGAGCCACTATATTTCAGACTCCCTTGTGGCTCAATCACCCCAATGATATTACAGCTTTTAAATACTTGTATGGACTGAACTGTGTCCTCCCAAACTCATACGTGGCAGCCCTCACCCCCGATGTGACAGGATCTGAAAGTGGGGCCTCTGGGAGGTCATGAGGGTAGGGCCCCCATCATGGGATTAGTGCCCTTGTAAGAAGTGACCCCAGACACCTTGCATCCCCTCCCCCGTCCTTGCCCTGTGGACACAGCAGGGTGGTGGCCATCAGGGAGAGTCCTCCAGGAACTGAATCAGCCGGCACCTTGCTCTCAGACTTCTCAGCCACCAGAACCCTGAGGAACAATGTGGTTGTCTGAGCCCCCCAATCCGTGGTGTTTTCTTAGAGCAATCGGACCAGCGCCGATATCATTTCCGTCCTTTATATGGCAAGCCAGACTTCGGAAGTCTCATTCCCTTCCATGTATTAAAGGTAAACTTCTCTTCTTTTCTAAATGCTCTGATCTCCACGGGGCGTGTCTGCTTTGACTATATTCTTGTCTGCTGGCTGCAGCTCCATGTCTGGGGGGTTCTGGTGCCCTGGAATCCAGCGACCCAGCAGGGCTCGGGGTCCCATTGCTGCTGGTGTGGATGGTGGCTGCCGTGTCCTGATTCAGCGGCTGGGTCAGGGTGGCCGTGACGTGGCTCTGGCACCGGCAGATGGAAGAATAGCATCCCCCCAACTCCGTAAGAAGCTTCCTGACCGTAAATGTGACAGCCTCTCCCTTGGCAGCCCAGCTCTGCTGGGTGATTGTGGAAACTGATGCTGAAAATTTCAGCTGGAGTCTGTTTTCAGCCCCTGATGATTCTACAGACCATTGAAGACCCTGAGAAATGTCCCCTTCTCTGCTCTGAAACAAGTCTGAGTGTCCCCCCGCCCGCTTTGACCTGCCTATTTTATGGCAGAAACTCCAAACCCGTCTTGCCTTGAGGGTCTTCCTTTTGATTCTCGAAAAGTCTCAACAATGACTATTCCAGTCTGTCTGTCCTCTGGTCATAATTTTTTTTTATTTTTTTTTAAATGTTTTTATTTATTTCTAGGAGAGATAGAGAGAGACAGCGTGAGCAGCGGAGGGTCAGAGAGAGAGGGAGTCACAGACTGAAACAGGCTCCAGGCTCTGAGCTGGCAGTCAGCACAGAGCCCGACGCGGGGCTCGAACCCACGAACCGCGAGATCATGACGTAAGTGAAAGTCATACGCTTAACCGACTAAGCCACCCAGGCGCCCTTCCTCTGGTCATAATTAATTCTCGTGCAGGGAAATCCCTCTGCCTGAACAGGATAGCTTGTCTACAAAGATCTGATTTTAAAGATCTAGATCACCACCATATCGGCATTTTTCTGATATTTACTACCATGTGTTACTGATATAATAAAAGCAGTTTCAGAAATAAAGATATAACGTGTGAAGGTAGGACAGGAGGCAGTGTGGGATGCCAGGCTGGACTCAAGAACCCAGTCGAGGAATCGGTTCCCTAAAGAGAGATGATTGGATTTCCCCATTGGGTCCTCAATGAGTCCTCTAGATAAATGTCATCTGATACCACAATAGTCACTGGCTACTGGGTACTTGAAACATGGTTAGTCTGAATTAAGGTGTGCAAAAAGTGTAAAATACACATTAGATCTCAAGACTCTGGTAGAAAAAAACGAATGGGAAATGTCCCACTAATAATTTTTTTAATGATTCCATGTTACAGGCTGAAATTATACTACATTGGATATATTGAGTTAAATGAAACATATTTATTTCAAAAGTAAAATTAATTTTACTTGTCTCTTTTTACTTTTGGGGTTTCTTTTTAAGTTTATGTATTTATTTTGAGAGAGTGAGCACGATCGGAGAAGGTGCACAGAGAGAGGGAAAGAGAGAATCCCAAGCAGGCTCTGCACTGTCAGCCCAGAGCCTGACTTGGGGGCTCGATCTCACGAAATGTGAGATCATGACCTGAGCTGGAAACAAGAGTCAGACGCTCAACTGACTGAGCTCCCCAGGGGCCCCTCTCTTTTTACTTTTTGAAGGTGGCTGCTAGAAAAATTTTAATTCCGTGTGTAGCTGGCATTCTATTTGTATGGGATGGCCTTACCCTAGAGCATAGGGAGGGACCAGAGCCTCACTTTTGGGGTCAGGAAGTGAGTACGCTAAAGGGAGATCGGGAGGTGGGAAGGGAAGGTAGCTTTTTTCAGAAAACTGGCAGTAAAGAGGGAACAAGGAAAATGGCTTGGGGGGAGAGGGGAAGAAGAGACATATTTAAAGGAGGGGGGAATCTGAGGATGCTGGATAAAGATTAGGTTACATGAAAGGGAAGGCAAATCTGCCAGAGAGAGGCAGCTACATGGAACCAGTCCTAGAGTGAGGATGTGAGACAGAAACAGGCGCTGAAACCCCCTTACACTCACGAGCATTGTTCCCTTAACTGGAGAGACAGGCTAGAACATTACAGCGGGACACAATATGCTGTGCGTGATATACACACAGACAAAAAACTGGGAGTAAATCACCAGGAACGGTAGCGCTCTCCAGGAGTAGCACTGCATTTTCCCCAATGTGGGTTTTTTTGTACTTTCTCAGTCTCCTTCAACATATAGGTATTGATCTTGTAATTAGAAAAGCAAATAAAAAATTTTTTCAAGACTCCAGGAGGCCTGGGGAGCTTCTGGATTGGAGAAGGACACACAGAAGGCGGTTGTGCTGAGTCCCTTGAGATTCACCCCAGGCTTAGGAACCAGAATCTTGAGGAGGGAGCTCCCCGCTCCCCAGCTATTTGGAGGGAGCCCAGCTCAGAGCCTTTCTGGCTTTGCTGCATAGCCTGTAAAGTTGCCTGGAGGTACCAGATGTGGTGCATTGGGTCCAGGCTGAGAGGCTATCAGTCTTAGACTGAGGGCCCCTCCGGGGCTGATGGCCCCACACCTGTTCTCAGGCAGCAGCAAAGAAGCCTGGGTGGGCGGCTGGGATGAAGCCTGCCAACCCGACTTGAGGCTGAGGGATGGGGCCAGCCCCCCTCTGGCAGGGCCCTGCACAGAACCGGTGCCCTGGAACTGCCTGTTGCAGTAAATTCTTTCCTCAAGCCCTCTGATCTGTAATCCTCTGCTTCATGGCCAGGGCTGCTTTGGGTCATCCTGGTCAAGCTTGGGTTTAGGATAAAATGAGCTCCTGACTACTTCCGGGAGCACTAACGATGTGCCCAGCAGTGGGGGAGCTCTGGCCGTGCCTCATACCACTGAACCTTCACAACAACTCTGCACATGCCCATACTGCTACTGTCCCATTTTACATATGAGGAAACTGTGGCTCAGAGAAGTTAAGCCATTCACCGGAGGGAATTAAGGTCCGAGGCTGATAACCAAGCAGCAAAGTCAGAACTCTAATCAAGGGGAATTCACTGTAGAGCCCATCCTGAGCTTTCTTTCTCTTTTTAAAAAAAACTCATCCAATGTTTACTGAATAATGAGCCATTGCCAACAGTGCTGAAATCTGCAACTCACTCACCCAGATCCCTGTCTTGGTCACCCGCTGAGAAGGAAGCCGGGAGCCAGAGAGAAGCTAGTGGAATGGGGGATTCAGGGAGATGAGGAGAAGCAGGGAGAGGGAGGGGCTAGACATCGTACAGAGCTACAGTCCCAGGGACACACACACACACACACACACACACACACAGTCAAGAACCATGGGCGTTAGTCTGTCCCCACCTGGTGGCCACAGGGACATCAAGGAAAGATCAGGCATCTACGAGACATTTCAGTCCTTCCTATCTTGAAACGTCTGTCATGAGAGGCTGGACCAAGGCCATTGGACCCTGCCTTCAGGGCATATTAGCCTTGAGCCAAGATGGCTTCGATGGCAGCCACCAACTTCAGAAACTTACTCTCCATGTCCATGTAGCCATCACCTCTTTTCCTGGAGTGAACCAACCGCCCCGCTGCCATCACTTCAAAGCCGGTGGCCTGTGGGGTCCCCTTTTTGCAGATGGCCAGGCTTCTGGGGAACTCATCTTCTAACTTCTTCTTGAGCTGCAGATACTTGGACTCGTAGCTTCAAGCACCACAATAAATGACTCAGGTGGCAAGGGCCATGGCCGGGAATCACAGCTTGGGCAGGGGCACAGACAGGGGACCCACCTGACACATGGACAGGAACGCTCAGCCCTTAGCATGCATCTGAGTGTCATGGACACAGGGTTTGGACCTGAGGGAGGACCAGAATATTGCATCTCTCTCCTATCAGAAAGGTGGAGGGCGCTGGGGTGGCCTCCTGAGGAGAGGTCCTAGGTGCAGAAGTGCGGGAGGTGGCTTTTAGGGAAGGGACCCCTGAGAAGGGCCCAGAAGGTACTGTATTCAATACAGCATCATTTTCAACTTGTCAGAACTTGCCAAATGAATTACAAAATAAAGCCCCAAATGACAGAGTAATGAGCAATTCATTTGAAATGTAAAATAAATAGGTAAATCTCTGGTGAGAAGGCAGAATAAATGGCATTTGGATGACATTTGGTGATTAAATTAAACAGTAATGAACTTGTGAATAATGTGCCCAGAGATGGCTAGGGAGGGTGATTTTTTTTTTCCCCTGAAGCCAGGGACTTAAAGCTCCAGCTGTTCTCAGTTCTTATGTCTGGGAACATAGCAGGGGGTCATGGGAGTCAGGGGGCAACTAACCCACCCACTCCACCAAAGACCCAGCCTGGAGGGTGGGGCCTGCCTTGAGCTTCAGGGGACCCAAGCCTGAGTCCTTTGGTACTAGGGGAAACTTACAGATCATCTAGTCTGCTTCTATCATTTAAACTATGGTAAGCTGAGACCCAGAAAGGTCAAGAGACTTGTCCAAGGGTGACCAACAGAGCCAAGATCAAGGTCTTCTGACACAAAGAAATGGAAAAACATTCCATGCTCATGGATTAGAAGAATAAATATAGTTAAAATGTCATTACAAAGCAATCTACACATTCAATCAATCCCAATCAAAATTGCACCAGCATACTTCTCAAAACTAGAACAAACTATCCTAAAATTTGTATGGAACCACAAAAGACCTCAGATAACCAAAGTAATATTGAAGAAGAAAACCAAAATGGGAGGCATCACCATCCCAGACTTTAGCCTCTACTATAAGGCTGTCATCATCAAGACAGTATGGTATTGGCACAAAAATAGACACATAGACCAATGGAATAGAATTGAGAACTCAGAATTGGACCCAAAAGTGTACAGCCAACTAATCTTTGACAAAGCAGGAAAGAATATCCAATGGAAAAAAGACAGCCTCTTTAACAGATGGTGCCGGGAGAACTGGATAGCAACATGCAGAAAAATGAAACTAGATCACTTTCTCACACCACACACAAAAATAAACTCAAAATGGATAAAGGACCTGAACATGAGACCGGAAACCATCAAAACCCTAGAGGAGAAAGCAGGAAACAACCTCCTTGACCTCCACCGCAGCAATTTCTTACTTGACACATCCCCAAAAGCAAGGGAATCAAGAGCAAAAATGAACTATTGGGACCTCATCAAGATTAAAAGCTTCTGCACAGCAAAGGAAACAACCCACAAAACTAATAGGCAACCAACGGAATGGGAAAAGATAGTTGCAAATGACATATCAGATAAAGGGCTAGTATCCAAAATCTATAAGGAACTCACCAAACTCCACACCCAAAAAACAAACAACCCAGTGAAGAAATGGGCAGAAGACATGAACAGACACTTCTCCAAAGAGGACATCCAGATGGCCAACAGACACATGAAACGATGCTCAGCATCCCTCCTCATCAGGGAAATACAAATCAAAACCACACTGAGATATCACCTCACGCCAGTCAGAGTGGCTAAAACGAGCAAATCAGAGGACTCTAGATGCTGGTGAGGATGTGAAGAAATGGGCACCCTCCTACACTGTTGGTGGGAATGCAAACTGGTGCAGCCTCTCTGGAAAACAGTGTGGAGGTTCCTCAAAAAATTAACAATAGAACTCCCCTATGACCCAGCAATAGCACTGCTAGGAATTTACCCAAGGGACACAGGAGTGCTGATGCACAGGGGCACATGTACCCCACTGTTCATAGCAGCACTCTCAACAATAGCCAACACATGGAAAGAGCCTAAGTGTCCATCAACAAACGAATGGATCAAGAAGATGTGGTTTATCTATATAATGGAATACTACATGGCAATGAGAAAGAATGAAATCTGGCCATGTGTAGCAACATGGATGGAACTTGAGGGTGTTATGCTGAGCGAAATAAGTCAGGCAGAGAAGGACAGATACTATATGTTTGCACATATAGGAGGATTAGGAGGAACTTAATAGAGGACTGTGGGGGAGAAAAGGGGAAATAGTGTGGGAGACGGAGGGAGGCAAGCCATGAGAGACTCTTGAATGCTGAAAACAAACTGAGGACTGATGGATGTGGGGGGGGGAGGGGGAGATGGGCATGGAGGAGGGCACTTGTGGGGATGAGCACTGGGTGTTATATGGAAACCAACTTGACAATAAACTATTTTAAAAAAAAGATCAAGGTCTTCTGACCTGCCTACTTCATCACATCTCCTCTTCCCCCCATAGTAGCTGGTCCCCAGAGATGACCCCCCAGTAACCACACCTCCTAACATCCACACCCTTATGTGGTGCCTCCCCTTGAATCCAAGCTGGACTGTGACTTGCTGGGGACCAACAGAACATGATAGAAATGATGCTGTGTGACGTTCAAGGCCAAGTCAAAAGGAACCTTGTAACTTCTACCTAAGACTCTGAGAACACTCACTCCAGGGAAAGCCAGCCACCATGTAAGAAGTCCAACTATCTTCCATGCTGTGAGGAAGCCCAAGCCATGTGGAGAGACTGCATAAAGAGGGAGAGATTGCTGGGCAGCCCCTAGGCATTTTGGCATCTCCAGTAAGACACCAGGAGTGTGCATGAAGAAGCCATCTTGAAACCCAGCCCCACCAAGCTTTCGAGGCCCCAAGAGACAGTCTAGTCACCCAGCTGAGTCTAGTCAACCCACACAAATGCAAGAGTTAATAGTAAATTTTTGTTCTCAATTATTGTGATGGGTTAATTTTATGTGTCAACTTGACTGGGCTAAGGGGTACCCATAAAACTGGCAAACATTATTTGTGGGAGTGATGTGACCCACCAAGCCATGAAGTTGGGTGTGCACACAAGACTCCTTCATCAAATGGAAGAGGCATACACAAGATCAGGACCAAGCAGTCCCTGAAAGCATAAGTAAATTCCATGAAGAAATGGCCCAAATGCCCAGGTCTCCACTTGCTACACCACTTTCTCTCACCCAGCCTGCATATATGGTCTCATGGGGAGCTCCCTACGATTAGTTGACAGTGGAAGAGAAGACTCAGGTCTGGTTTACAGACACTTGTGTGCCATGTGCAGGTAATACCCAGAGTGGACAGTGCTGCACTACTATCCCTCCCTAGGACATCCCTGAAGGACGTGGTGAAGCAAACAAAATCTCCCAAAGTGGGAAGACAAATTTGGGCACAACTTTGTCCAGGGCATATTGTTGTCCACTTTTCTTGGAAGGAAAAATGGCCAGGTGTGTGACTATATACTGGCTCATGAGCTGTAGCCAATGGTTTAGCTGGATGGTTACAAGGAACACAGCTTAAAAATTTGTGACAGGGGTGCCTGGTAGGCTTAGTTAGAGGAATGTGTGACTCTTGATCTTGGGGTTGTGAGTCTGAGCCCCATATGGGGTATAGAGATTACTTAAAAATAAAATATTTTAAAAAGTGAAAGTAGAGTCACCTGGGTGGCTCAGTCGGTTAAGCATCAGAGTCTTGATTTCAGCTCAGGTCATGATCTCACAGCTGTGAGATTGAGCCCCTGTCCATGCGGGGCATAGAGCCCGCTTAAGATTCTGTCTCTCTCTCACTCTCTCTCTCTGTCTCTCCCCCTTACTCCCCCCCATTCATGCTCATGCTCACTCTCTGTCTCTCAAAAACAAACAAATAATAAAATAAAGTAGAAATTGGTGACAAAGAAATTTGAGGAAGAGGTATGTAGTTAGTCCTCTCTGAATGGGCAAAAAATGTGAAGATATTTGTGTTCTACCTGAATGCTCACCAAAAGGTAATCTCAGCAGAGGAGGATTTTAATGACCAAGGGATAGGATAACCCCTTCTATGAATACCAGTCAGCCTCTCTCCTTAGCCACCTTTGTCACTGCCCAATGGGCTCATGAACAAAATGGCCATGGTGGCATGGATGGAAGTTGTTTCTGGGCTTACCAACATGACTTCCACTTACCAAGGCCAACTTGGCTACGGCCACTGCTGAGTACCCAATTTATCAGCAGCAGAGACCAACACAGAGCCCCTATTAAGGCACCATTTTCCAAGGGGATCAGCCAGCTACTGATGGCAGGTTGGTTACACTGGATCACTTCCATCATGGATGGGGCAGCTTTTTGTCTTTACTGGAATAGACACTTATTCTGGCTATAGACTTACCTCCCCTCCATGTAATACTTCGACCAAAGCTACCATCTGTGGATTTAGAGAGTACCTTACCCACTGTCAAGGTATTCCACAGAACATTGCTTCTGATCAAGGAATTAACCTATAGCCAAAGAAGTGTGGCAACGAGCGCATGATCATGGAATTCATTGGTCTTATCATGCTCCCTAACCATCCTGAAGCAGCTGACTCGATTGAAGAGTGGAATAGCCCTTTGAAGACTCAGTAAGAGCTAGGTGGTAATACTTTGTAGGGCTGTGGCAAGGTTCTCCAGAAGGCTGTATATGCTCCAATATATGGTGCTGTTTCTCCAATAAACAAGATTCACAGTGCAAAAAATCGAAGGTAGAAATTGGAGTGGCACCCCTCACTAACCTTAGTGACTCACTGGCAAACTTTTTGCTTCCTGTTCCAGAGACTTTATGCTCTAATTGGACTAGAAGTCTTTGTTCCAGAGGGACACATGCATCTACCAGGAGACACAATGATTCTGTTGAACTGGTGGCTAAGACTGCCACCCAGTGACTTTAGGATCTTCAGGTCTCTGAGTCAATAAGCAAAGAAGGGAATCACAGTGCTGGCTGCGGTGATTGATC